TGGCCGAAAATGCCGTCCTTCCATCTAAGGAAAAACAGTGCCGCCATGAATGACCGCCACTCCGCAACCCACTTCCTTCGCAATTGATTGTAATGTGTATCAAGGAGGGAAAAAAAATCACGAAATATTTCATTGAATCCCTAAGTCTTGTTGTCATGAATGTTCTGTGACAAGATATCACCCGTTGTGCTAACAGGCCCGCACCTAGGAAATTCTGGGGCCCCAGACAGCCGACAGTGTCCGGGGCCCTTGTCGTGTTTCAAACGTGTGCGAATATCTTAAAAACTCGAAAAGGGGCGGTGTCACTATCTAGCTCGGGGTCTTCACAAGTGCCATGGTTGTCCCCAACCCCCGACCCCAGTTGCGGGCCTGGTGCTATAATACAGTGGTTCTTGACCTGTACTCCTCGGCGCCCCAATGGCTTCTCTGTTGCTCCACGGCCGCTCCAGGAAATAAAATCACTACGAAACACCACTGAACAGCAAGTTATGGGGTATGCCTAAAGGACTCCACAAAGAAAAAGGATCCTCATTCGTCAAAAAAGGTTAAGAACCACTGGTATACCCAATACATTTTAAGTAGGTTTTAAAAAAATGAATTTGGAATTTGCATGTTATTACGCGTTAGAGAATAACAATAAATTATCGACCATCACGTCACGTGTCTGTTAAACTACGACACACCGTTCGATCATCGAGACCTTTCAGTAGCTGGGGTTCAGAGCAAGGTGACTAAATCGAAGTCATTGGAATGATGTGCCTCCTAATCCTGAATATTCATCCCCAATCCTAGAATCACCCTAACGTCACCCCAACCCTAACATCACCCCGACCCTAACATCACCCTAACCCTACCATCCCCCTAACTCTAACATCACCCTAACCCTAACATCACACTAACCCTAACATCACCCTAACTCTAACATCACCCTAACTCTAACATCACCCTAATCCTAAATCACCCTAATCCTAACATCACCATAATCCTAACATCACCCTAATCCTAACATCACCCTAATCCTAACATCACCCTAATCCTAAAATCACCCTAATCCTAACATCACCCTAATCCTAACATCACCCTAATCCTAACATCACCATAATCCTAACATCACCCTAATCCTAACATCACCCTAATCCTAACATCACCCTAATCCTAACATCACCCTTCTTGACGCCGAATCAACTAATCCGCAATGATACTAGCCAGGTTCTGTTTTTTCATCCTTGAGTTCTCCCGCCGAAGTTCGTCAGTTTAACAGAGCTGCCACAATAACAACACTGCCTTCCACCGGGAGGACGAATTGCTTAACCTCCAGATCTTCTAATTTTGATAAATACCCCCCCCCCCTCTTTTCTTTTTTTAGGCTACAATATTTATTTTATAACGTTATGTCTGAAGCGCTCTACAGGCCAGAAGTTTAACAAATGGTATGTCATACTTGGATTTTACAATTCGAACGATTTTTGTTTGTTTGTTTTATTTGCTATGAACCAATAATTGTGAGTGTCTCTACGTTAATCATGATGAGTCAGCCCCCCCCCCCTCCAACCCCCGTAAAGTTTACAATAGCCTAGCTCAGTGGTCGGCAAACTCATTAGTCAAAAGAGCCAAAAGTCAGCGGCAGGGCAGTTTTTTTTTAAAAAATAATATAAAAAAATTGAGAGCCTAATTTCTTTTCAAGAACCGGCCAAGAACCAAAGTTTTTCGGAGTCAAAACCTTTTTTGTTGCCGACTGGCCGAGCTGCATTCAGGTCGCTAAAGAGCCGCATGCGGCTCGCAAGTTACGCTTTGCCGACCACTGGGCTAGCCTTAAGGTGTTATGCGTTTCCGAAACAACAATGCTTACATTAGTGTTTCAGTCATAGATGTCATGACAAAGAACATGACGCCAAAGAAACGTTGAAATATCACATTTGAACATCTAGAATTGATAACATGTCGAGATGAAGCAAAGATGGAGAATGTTTCCACGAATAATGATGTAAACTTAGATGATTATTGGTCATCAAAAGGGCAGGGGTCAATAAGTAGACATGTCTTGAAGAGGATGTGCCATCAGAAGGACCACGCGTCGAGAGAACTGGTCACCGAGAGGACAGGTCTTCAAGACGACGAGTCACCAAGAGAACAGGTCATAAGATTAGATGATCAAGAAATTCAGCTCATTGAGAGACCCAATCATTAAGAATTAAGCTCTTGAAGGGGACAGGTTTTCAAAAGGACAGCATTGATCATCAAGAAATTCAGATCATTGAGAATGCCAGGTCATCGAGGATTCAATTCTTGAAGGGACAGGTCATCAAGGGAAAGGTCATCAAGATAACACGTCATCGAAAGGAAAAAAAAAACTTCAAGAGTACAGGTAATCAAAACAGTAGGTCAATAAAGGGCATGACACCTGTAATTGTTCTTTTTGATTCGGGTACAGTTCAGTTCAATTCATCAATAAGTTATAAACACACTTAATACAACAATAATGTCCCAAATGATCCATTTATTGCGCGGTCTCTTCTGTGCAGCCTACCAGCGTTTTCACTTTTACGATGTACGAGACTGCGAAATGACTTGTCCGTTATATGCTGTGTATTTTTGTGTTGCTTTGTAAAACCACAAGAAGAAGAAGACACATTGTTTTAGTATCGTGTTTTACTTCTTAGTTTTTGGGGCGAACTAGACGATTTTGGGGGGAGGGGGGTGTTCGTGGATGTTAGGGGTACCTTGATTTTGGAGGTTCCTTGATGTATGAGGACCCTTGATGTTGGGGTCCCCTTGATGTTTGGAGACTACTTTATGTTTGGATTACCATTGATTTTGGGCACCCTTGATGCTAGGAGGGGAGGGGGTCCCTCGATGTTAGGGGTCCCTCGATGCTGGGTCGTCTCTTGATTTTTTGGGGTTACCGAGATGTTTGTGGATTCCTTGATGTTTGGAGGCCCCTTGATGTTAGGATTACCCTTCCCAACATTAAAGAAATTTAAAATTATTGTGTACTTGCAAATACTGCGTCTTCAGAGTGCCTCGGATATTTATTAAGGGGATGGCTACAATAAAATGAAAAGTGGCATTTACC